TATTAATTTAAACCTTTACCAAAATATCATCGTCAAAATATCTATTTATTTTTTCCTTTTTATTCAATTTAGGAAATAAGATAATAATTATCTTTGAAGTTACTATAGTATGATATTTAGTTTAATAATACGTGTTATATGAGAATTTTAATTATTTGTGTATTCTAGTTAAAAATGTTATTTGTTACTAAAAATACCACAAACCTTATAATTTTTTTTATTATTTATTTTTGGTCTTGTATTTATGTTCAACCCATATTTATTACACATTAGTTGGGTTTTTTTTTCATAAGTTTTGTTTTGCCATCGTTAATCCATAAATACATTGACAGAATTCAATTTTTTTCTCTAAGAATGCAACAAACATGTGCTCTTGAGTTTAATTCGAAAAAAGTCAAATGAGAAAGACTTTTGTAGAAAATGTTAAAAAATGAAGAGAACAATTGTGCTGAATTTAGCAATGTCATGCTAGAATCTTGAAGCTAACACCCGATGTTTAAGAAAATGCTCGCCCTGTGTAGATGAGCACGGCCGTAATGAACTATAGTATGACCATGTTAGTATTTTGAAGCTTTTGATTTCGAAAAGTTAACATGTCCTTGCACATTCTCAACACACCATAAGTAGGTGAGCACGATCATGTTGAATTGTAACACGATGAGGTGGGATTTTGATATCGTCGTTCATGGAAAGGTGCCCATGCTCTCTCCATAAACAATGCATAGTTGTATTGACATGTAGCATAATCATGCAAAAGGTCTTAAGTCTCTAAAATCTATATATAAATGGAAGTGAGGGTGTAAGTTTAGAGCTTTCTGTTTTTACCTATGTTTGAGAAATAATTTGTATTTTTTGAGAGTTTGAGGGAGAGATTCTCTACTAGAAAAGTGTAATTTTCCTGCGAATTTTTCTACAAAAAACTATTCGCAAAATTTTTTTGCGAATTTTCCTGCAAAAAAATATTCGTAGAAATTTTTTGCGAATTTATTTGGGAAAAATAATTTACAGATATTTCTTACAAATTTTGCTACAATTTTAATAATAATAGAAATTTTTTTCCATGGTAAAAATTTGCAGAAAATATTGTAAGAATTTTATTTTGTTTCTTGCAGATTTTCTTGCAAAAATAAATTTGCAAGTAATGTTTACTAAATGGTAGAAAAATTTTGTAGGTAACTTTACCTGCAGATTTTCCTGCAAATTTTAATCCACAGGAAAAATATAAAAAATATTTAAATTTATAAGTTTAATATTTTAAAAGAACTTCAAGTCCCACATCGATTGAAAATAAAAATAATTAAAGAGTATATAAGTTGGGACGACACTTACAAGTTGATTTGTATGGTTGAGTGTTAGGCTTATAATCTACAATCTTAGAATTTAAAAGATTATGTATCACATGTTGGAGGCATGGAAACAAATGTTTCGGATGAATTCATTGTGAGCATTTGAAAGTTGAATAATTATTGATAGAATTTATAATAATTTCTTTAATTTTTTTGTAAAAAATATTCCTGCGATTTTTTTTTTGCAGGAAACTTTCCTGCGATTTTTAGAATTTGCATAAATATATTATCCACGAAGGTATTACTTGCAGATAAAATTTCGTAGAAAAATTTGTAGGAACAACAGGAAAAGTTGCATGTAATAAGAGAAATTCTAATGGTGATTGTAGAGAAAGGAGGAGAATTGAAGATAAAGGAGGCTTCTTGTATTTATAATTCCCCTTTTTCTTTTCTTTGATATTTTCCATTGTAATTTTGTGCTTAATTTCTTAGATGTCTAGCTACTTTGCAAGCTAGCTAGCATTACAATGTAAATTAAACCTTAGATCCCTAATTTTATTTACTCTAACTGTTTTGATAGTGATTGGATTGTTTTGCTAATTTAATTTGTGCAATGAATCGATCATTCTAAGTATTATTTTAGTTAAATGATTGAAAATAAAAAGGTCTTTTAATTAATGTAACTATAAGACAATCTAGTTAGAGGCTTGTATGATCAATTAGATTTTTTAAAGTATTATTTTAGTTAATTGTTTTAACCAACATCTTTGTTCTTCATACTTTCTTTAATGTGAATTACTCAAGTTGTTTAAGATATCATGATGAAAAGTACTTAACAATTTGAGAGACAGAGATAACAATTGAAATTAGGGTTAAACTAAATTAGGATTGAGTGAATTAGAGACAATTGAAGTTATAACCCTAGGTTTTCAATTCTTGAATCAATCTTAACTTCAACTCTCCACTAAATTTGAGATTTTCAAAATTGAGACAATATGACATATTTGCTAAAATGTTAGTTTCCAAACAATATTAAATCTTTAAATTCATTATTTGTTTATTCCTTTGCGCTCCACATCATGCCTTTTCTTTTGTTACTTTTGATGTTTGCCCTTAATCATATTTAAGCACAAGTTCCTAATTAATTTTGTTGTCAATGACTAAATTGAATAATATTAATGGACATAGATTTTAGTTGATATATGTGTCTTTATTTTATTTTGTAAACGTACATTCTTGAAATAATTATTTTTTTGTTCAGATTTACATTTTATTTTTTTAAAATTGTATAAAAAAATATGTGTCGCAAATCGGAGGTTCACACACATGTTTTTATATTGATATGATATTAACCACTTTGAAACTAAGCCTTCATGATTTTGTGTTTAGTCACACCCAAAAATTTCTTACTAATAGAGGCATTTGTGTATTTATAACAATATACATCTTTCATTATCCTAAATGTGACTTGTGTTTTTCTAAAGTTAATGCTAACTCATTATAATAGATATGATTTGCTAGTTGATTATGAGATAGTAAAGAATAACTCATAGTTTAAGGAAAGAATATCAAAATAGGATCACTATGATATGACAATAAAAAGGACACAATAGGATTATTTTAACCCTACCATTTGGATGGCTGATACCATCCATCACCCTAGGGTGGAGGCAAATAACTTTGAGCTAATGCTAGCTCTCATGTGTATGATGCAAAACTCCAAATAGTTTGGGGGTTTACCATCTCAAGACCCCCCTTGGTCACCTGAAAAAATTTATTATTAGGATCGTCAACAATGTGATCCTAATTCGAATAATTCTTATTTTCTCTGACAGATAGGAGGCATTGACTTTTCTATCTTAACTATTAAACCAGTTGCATTTTGACGTGGGAGGAATGTACAAAAAAATCAAGATGAAGTATTTCCTTCCAACAAAGTCTAACAAGCTACAAAAAGACATAATAAATTTATCATAGCTTGAACAAAAAATCCTGGTCGAAGCATGGGTTTGATTCCAATATTTGCTACAATATGGCAAGCATGGGTTTGATTCCAATATTCCAATATCATGGCTTCGGTGCAGGACAATTAGTCCAAATATTCTACAATGGATTGTCTAACCAAAAACAAATTCAACAATGATGCCTAACATGACCATATTGACATCGAACATGATCGTGTAGACATATAACATAACTATTTAAGCATCTAATACAATCATGATGATGATCACAAGTCTTTAATATCTATAAATAAAAGTGAGGTTGTTCATTTAACAGTGTCTATTTGATAAAAGTTTAATTGAAGCACTTAGTATTTATATATTGTATTTTTTAGAAGATTTAATGATTTACTTAATTCGTCATTTAATATAACAATTTTTTTTCATATAGAGAGACCGTGAGAGAGTAATTCATTTTTGTTAAAATATGGCTTGGAAAATTAGTTTGAGGAAAATACATAATAAGAACCATCGATCGTTATGATCAAGATTTTCTTCAATAATGTGTAACATGATTTGAGAGATTGTCAAGTCTAATCATTATGACTAATCGAGAAGCATGTCTATAATATGTTTAAATTTAAATTTTTTAGGCTTACATGTAATTTTTGGTTCTTTTAATATCTTAATTATATAATTTTAATTCATGGAGTCCCCGACTAGTACTATCGATCCAACGATATTAGTTTATCCATCAACCTTTTATTAAAATAGAATACAACTTTTGCTACATAACACTAATACCGACACCAAATAATGATATTAACACATAAATGCATCATACTCCACATCAACTCTATGTCATCATGTCAATTTTACTTGTTAGTGTGACATCATTTATCATGTCACCCTAAACAAAAAATTATTAATTTTTTTTATAAAAAAAAAATTAACGGGCAAAAATTACACAAAAATCAATATTTGAAAATTTTAATTCTCTCAATCATAACTTCAGAAACAAAAATCACACAATAGTAATACTTAAGAACCAAAATTTCATTTGATTTTTTTTTTCTTTTTTACCATCGTATCACTGGAGTGTAGTTAGAAATGTATATATGCAACTTCATTTTTTCTTATGTTCCTCCAGCTTTTATTTGGAATGCTTTAGAGGAGAAAGAGTTTGCATTACTTTACCCGGAAGTTTCCGGGTGAAATAAAACTACACTCACAAAAAAAAAAGAATAAATAAAAAACTAGATAGTCTGGACTATCCAATAAATTTGAATAAATCATCAAATTAGATTTTGAAATTACAATGATCAACAATTTTAATATGTAAAACTTTAAAAATATTAGCTTTAATCCTGATGTTAAAAAACCACCAACTTAATCCCTAACCTTGCTAAAATATAGTCATTTTGACCCCTATACACCATTTGTTGTACAGCAATCACTGCAGGCACTTCTGCCCAGGGATCAAATTATCCGATAGTTGTGAAATTCAAGCAACAAATTGACAATAGCTATTAAATTGAGGAATTAAATTTATTTCATGCGATGCTAGAAACCAAACTGACTAATCAAGTCAAAGTATGCTTCAGATCAATCAGATCACAGTTGATCAAAATAATTAACCTCCTATCCCATGTTTTTCATGGATATCATATGCAATGAATTGAGATTCATGCAGTGTGCTTGGGGTCCCTATAAAGTTCAAATGCAAAAGCTATTTGATTTCTCCTTTAAAACGTAATGCAAAACATTTTAGTGAACCCAATTATTCAATATAACTTTCAAGTGATTGAATTCAATGTAAAACAACCTTGCAAACACAGAAACATACAGAGATGCAAATACAACCTTAGGATTTATTAGCCTAATAAATTAGTCTAGCTAGCTAGCACCCTGGCCCTGTAAAGAAGTTCTAAACTTTTATTTTTAGCAAATTAAAGAATTGAAAACTTGAGTCACACACACTGCCCTTTCTTTAGGCATTAACCATAAATGTCCACAATCTGAAATCTTGTTACCCTAACCTTTGGGCCAAGTAGCTTGAGCTCTTTCATTTCCTCATGGATCCTTCTTCACTGTGTCTGCGGAAACATCTGTTGTGGGAGGTAATTGGACTCAGGTTGGATCTCCTTGAACTCTTCCGCTGCATGGTGGTGAAAATGCCAATCTCTATCTGAAACAAACTGCCTGGCCATGATTGCTGCCCGGTTTTCTGCGATCAATTCGCGCAACGCCGCACTGCATCTTGTGGAGAGGTCAGAAGGAGAAAGCCATGAATCACTTCTAGATGACAGAAGAGAGAGAGCACACCCTCCTGTTCATAAGTATGGAAAAACTTCAATCATCAACACAATATTTATGGACAAAGAAATTTATAAGTTGAGATTACTTTTATCAACTTCACAATGTCATTTATTTCTCCCAGAACCTCCTCACTTCACTGAAAATCTGTTTGGATACAAGTTAGAAACATTTTTTAAAGTTTCTCTATTGAAAATAATTCAGAGAGAAGCTCTTAAAAACACTTCTAAACTTGTATCCAAACAGACTCTAAGATTATAAAAGACAAAAACATAGGGAGGTTAAGATAGCAAATGTAACCTTAGAGAAGGTGTAGTTCTCCCATGAATGCAAATGCAATACTTTTGTAATGAGACCTAGCTCTTACCTTTAAACAACTTAGTTTTGGAAATGATTGTATTCCAATTAAATGAAGCAGTGATAATTCAAAATATAAAACGACATTGATGTGAAGTTGAACAGGATTAAATAATCCAGGAAAATGTATTAGGGTGTTTTTGGATTGCTGTTTGCAAAACACCAAACGTTCATTCATGAATTACAAAGCTCAAAACAGTGGATTGGAAAAAACGTGTTAGGCTCAACCCAACATCTTTCCAAATACATTCTTAATAGTGAGTACATTAAGAGTAATCATCGTTATATTAGATATCAAATTAACATGAAGGCTTTGTTAAAGTATGAGATTTATTATAATCAGCATGAATACTAAAGTTGACAACATTTCAGATGGGGATATCAAACTAACTTGGATGACACTTGATATTATTATGCCTTGTACTGACCAAGTGTAATAAAATAAAAGTAAATATAGAGGCTAAAAAATAGTCGATCCATAATTTATTTATTCTCGACTATCCTACCACTAGATGTGCACATAATAATGGTGCTAGTATTTGAATCACAAATTTTACATGTAAGAGTAACCATTTAATATATGTAATACAAAATAAAAACAAGCAAGTTATTTTGTTTTTTTTGTTACAAATTTCTGCAAGTGAGAAAACTATATTTATAAGAAGTGAGGAAAGTTTGTTTTGACCATCCAATCTTAAATTGATTTTTAAGTCTAGATCTTATTTGAAGATTACATAACCAGTGAGTGATTGATCTTGTCACTTTAGCTTCTACTTTAGACCACATAGGGATGAATTACAGCTAAAATTTGGTCCCTTTCTCTCACAGTAAATCATTTCTCTTAAATGATAAGCCCAATAAATATGAATGTGTAAGCTCGGCGTATTATCTGTGAATGAATAAACTATTTACTTAAATATATTTTTAATCTCAATAAATTAACATATTTTGGTTTTAATATTTGCAATTATTTTTCATTCCTCTATGAATTAAATATCTATTTTTTCTCTTATAAAATGAAGAAATTTTGATTTTAATTTTTGAAAAAACATTTTTCTTAGCTTTTCACTTTTTTGATATATAAAGTCATTATTTTTAATTTTTAACCCCTAACATTCATTGTAAGCTACATAAATAATGCTATATTTTAGGAATTTAGAACAAAATTTAGAGGTATCATCTTCCAACATGGTAGCACATGTACTGGTCTATACCACTCAAGATGATCCCTTGATCTTCTATATATAAACACAGTATGTTAATTAATGTTACATACTAATAGAAACCAAAAATAAAAATTTCAACCTTTCGATGAAGAAAGATAACTACAAAAATAAAATCAAAACTCATTCATTTAAAAGAAACTAATACGTATTTAAACCCAAAAATATTACCCCACTTTACCATTGTCCCTTTAAAGATTTGATGGAAGAATTGTCCATAATTCTTCAGGTACTTATCATCAAAATAATATAAGAGAAAATAAATGTAGTGCACATTCACGACACACAATATAAAAACACATACCGAGAAAGAGAGAATATTTTTCAAAATTAAAATGCCTTAAAATTTAACACTGAAGCCCCAAAACTTTAAATTTGATAAGAAAAAACTACAAGTATTGTTGGTGTTATTCTCTGATTAGAATTAAAGTTTCACCTAAATAATATGCCATACCATGAGTAAAATTGTTAGTTTTGTTCTTTAATTAGACTTAAAAGTATCACTTAGATAATATGTTTCTAAACCTCATTAAAATATATATACATGATGATATGTTCTCATTTGTCATACATTTAATGCAAACCTCATAGTATATAACCAAAGTTAAATATGTGCCTAAATTTTATCTGAATTAATAACGAAAGCAGGAAGTTTTTTTTTTCTCCCCGTTCTGCAATTGGGCAGAAAATGAAGAACATGCTGGGGGTAATAGAATGAATTAATCAGAAAGAATACAAAAAAGAAACAAAAGAACAAGAGATCCATAGATGATAATCATGTGTCTTAATACTCATAAAAAGCCATCCTATCAGTCTACGTCAATGACAAATCAACACATAATTGAAGTGAGAGAACAAACTCATTTAATTGGTGGAATAACAGATGCAGACTCTTCTAAAAAGTTAATTCAATACCTAAAAATCTATTTCATTAAAAAAAATGAGCCCCGTCTAGGTTTTATTAGTACAACTCACTTGATGCACATAACTCAAGGTTTTTATTGTACATGTAATAATGAGAGTAGTTTGTTGAGTTAACTACATACTTTGTTATTAGTAATTTATTAGTTTCTCTTCTATGTGCTCAGGTATGTATTCAACATCAACGGCGTTGTAAACCTACTTTTCAAAATGCAATATGATTATTCTGAATTTTTCCTCTCACTTTCTCTCAAACTCTGCCATGTTTCTAAATAATTTCGTAATTTTAGCAGATAGTCTGTTTTGTTAATATGCATTTCCATATACATCGAAGGCACTTTGTCCTTAGAATATTTGAAATGAAAGAATTATTTTCCTCTGTGAACAAACTTCCCAAATTTATTTGAAATTACATTAGTTTTGAAAATTAATTAACGAATCGTTTTGTATAATGTTTGGTAATTTTGTAAACATTATCAATTTTATTAAAATTAATGAAATCATAGATTAGTTTAAATCATACTTTTAGTCTTTTATCTGGTCAATAAAATTATTTTGGTCTCTTTTTTTTTTTATTTTTTCTTGAAGACTCTAGTCATGTAATTTTCAAATTGGAATTAATATTGTTTAATTTGGAGAATAATTTTGAATTAGTTTATTTATTTAAAATGTAAAAATTATCTTATTAAATTTCCTTATATGAAAATTGCGAATATCGCAATTAATGTCCAAACCCCAAAAACAGTTTACAAATATAATGAAAATTACAAGAAAAGTCAGTCTTAAAAGAAAATCATATATTAAAATTTTCAGTTTTCATATTCTCCAAAGTTGCGCTTTTCGTGTGATTTTCACTGACTTCATACCTTTTTTTATTAAAACAATAGTTGGTTTATATAATTTTCATTCAAGAGAATCTTAAATCAATGAAAAAGGATATCAAAATCATGCCCTAAAATAAGAAAAAGCAATAATTGTTTGAAAATACAATATTAATTTAAGTTTAAAAGTTAAATACCAAAATAAATCTTTTATAAGATTAAGAAAATAAAACTAATCTCATAATAAGATAAAGAATTAAAAATATATTTTAGACTTTATATTATTATTTTCCAATTTTTAATTAAAAATATTCCAAGTGAATCATCTCTCTTTCAGCTGCATCAAACAGCAGAAGTACTACGTACTTTGCTTAGTTTATTTTTTTTTAGATCACAAGTACTAAGTACTCACTTGCTTCATTAATCTTTTGTAAAATTTGATTCAATCTGATTATCTCCTCTAAAAAATTTCAGCTTTTTTTAAATAAAAAAAAAACCAAAACAGGATAAATTCTACCAAAAATTTCTGTATCGTATGACTTTAAAAAGGTCAGATTTAAGTAGTATGACTGAAAAAAAAGTCAGATTTAAGTAAATCATTTTTATCCAAAAGTTTAGATTAAAAAATACAACAAAATACATAAGTTTGTAACATACCAAATGCAAAAAATTGTGTTTTAATTAATTTATTCTTTTTTTGGATGTAGAAGTCGTGTGTTGTAACGACAATTTTTACTTTAAATTTTTATATTTTTCTACTAAAAGTTATAACTTCAATGTACAGAACACATTACAAAAAATTATGTTACGAAACACGGGTCTTTAGCAGAAAAAAAAATGATGTAATGCAACATGACTTCTAATTAAAAAAAGAAAAATCAGGCTGTAAAACACAACTTTTGCATTTAATATCATCTTTCTTACTGTAGATTTTTTAAAACAAAAATTATCCACATTGTGATTTGTGGAAACTTATGAATTTTTAAAATTAACCACATTGTGATTTGTGGAAACACAATTTGGTAAAAAAAAATATATTATAAAATTAGTAGCATCATTTATAAAATGAACGAAGATCGAATATAAAACCACATACACAGTTTAAATCAGTGTAAACAAATACAAATCATTTTACATTTGCGTATTCTACCCGTATTACCATACAATTTTGACATGAGGGCCAATTGGTATATGTATGTGCACATTCATTGTTGCCAGATTATTGAACTTTTTTTTTTTTTGGTAAAGAAAAGTAATTCTTTTGACTTTACTATATTATGGAATTAGAACAACAGAAAAGTAAATTAAAATAATATATTGTAATTAACGTTTATTTTTCAGAGAAATAATCACGTATTTTAAAAAAATAATCTCCCACAACTGATAAAAATAACCAATTATTTCTTCAGGATAACATCAATACTTGCATTTTTACCTGTCAACTAGACATTCAGCATCTTAATTTTCTAATCCTTCAGACCCTTGACTTGAAATGTGCAGGCTTGATGAAACGAATTGATTTGGTGAGAAATTAGAGTTGTTTTGGATGAAAAAAAAAAAATCATGTCTCTCCATTGTATAGTCAAATTCTAAACATAAAAAATTAATTAATTGATTTATCAATATTAATAATTAATAGTAAATATACATGCAAGTTAAACAAAAATAATGCTTCAATATCCCAATTTGGCAAATATATTGTATAATCTAACGTGAGTAAAAAAATAAAGTGAATTACAACAAATATTGATGAAAAAACTAACAGCTAATAACACATAACTTATCACGTAGTATATTATTCTTATCCATAAAAATTAATTAGTATATCATTTCCTATCCATAAAAATTAATGATACAACCACGTAACATCTTATAGACACTGTTCCGACTTTACAACTAAGTCAAACCATAACTTATTATGTATATCTCCACACACGTAATATCACTTTCTCATGATTTATTAATAATGTTGCGAATTTTACTTTTTTATAACGTTATTTTACTCTCTAAACTTTTGAGGAGCCGGGTCTGTGTGTAAACGCAATATCATTTTTTCCACCAATTCATTTAATTTCAATTATTTCAATATATACTACATTTTTAAAAACTTAATTAACGGAAATATAAATATGTTTGGGTAAAAATAGAAAATTATGCTTTGGGTAAATTGTTTAAGAACAAGTTTGACAAAATCTCATATTTACATGTTAAATTTGATATAAAAAAAATTATTGAAATAAGTTAAAAAATTATTTTAATAAATGATACCAAGAAGCACATTAAAATAAGTGTAAATGTATTTATATAAGTCATTATAAGTTCAAATAAACTCCCCTAGTTAAACTCTTTTAGATGCCCCAAGTAATATTGATTGTAGACAGCTCTCTATCCAATTTCATAATAAAAATTTGAAAATTATGATTTCACATTCCAACGAGTGTATACACACGTTGGATATAAGAGGGAAAAAAAAAAAGATACAAAATGTTGAATTTGACAAATATGGTTTGTTAATTTCAAAAAAATATTTTCATGTTTTAATTAATTTTCTACTTTACTTTTAATTATAAAAATATCTCTTGGTTATGCAAAAACTAAAGAAAATAACTTTTTTCCATTTTATGTTTTTATTTTCTAGTTTCACTTTTCTTACACGAGCTTAAAATAGAAAAGAAAAACAAAAGATTTTCTTAAATCAATTGAACCCAAATTTGGTAAGAAAGATATATCAAGTGGTGTAAGCACTGTAAATAAAAAATAAAAAAAAAGTAAAAAAAAAGGTGAATTAATTAACTAACACAGTATACCTTGTGAAGAATTCCTTGCAACAGAATCATGGGAGCTCTTTCTTCTTCTCTCGTTGTGACCTGCTAGTCTTCTCCTACAACTCCTCTTTGAATCATCGAACTCTGACACCACGTGAAACCTAAAAATCCAATCCCCGCAACCATATTTTCTATATTTGTTATCTCAATTAACAAATGAACAAACCCTAAAATATAAATAAACCACAAAAAACAACAACAGTGTGTTTTTCAACAATATAATACGAATATATATACTGTATTGAGAAAAGAAATGCACATAAACTCAGTTTCACAAATCTCACTCTGGTAAACTGATTTGGACCATTCATGAAAAAGTTACTGAATCATGAGGGCTCTTTCTTCTTCTCTCTTGTGTAAATTCATTTTCATTTAAACCACTAAAAAATGTTACAGAAAGATCAAATCAATACAACTAGAGTCTGCAGAAAGTCAGTAAATTTAAAGGTTTTTAATTTTAAATTTATTCCTCCGATACCGACAGTCATAACAGAATAAAAAAGAGAAGAAAAAACAAAGAAAGAAAAATCATAACAAAGCAAGGTAGACTAAGTACATAAGAATAATAACTTGCGATATTTGTGAAGTATGCATAAGTATCATATATATATATATATTCTTCCTACACAGTAACAACAAAATAATACAAATAAATACCAAGAATTGAAAATGATACTAAGATATTTTCAAGCTTCATAACACACAAAAATCTCGACTCTCACCGAAACAAATTAATAATAATAAAAAATGTAACAGGAATATATCATCATTCTTCCGATAGAGAGAAAAAAAACCCTAAAAAAAGTAAAAAAAAATAACACAAATGTATCATCATAAAAACGATAACTTTTAACTTTACAAATTACGAATCTGAACTTTATGCAAATCCTTTTTCATTTAAGCAACAAAAAATGTTACTGAAAAATTAAATTCAAACTAGAGCCTGCAAAAATTCAATAAAATTAAATATTTCACGTTTTTTATTCCTCCGAGACCGACAGTCATAACAGAAGAGAAAAAAAAAAGGAAAAATCGTAACAAAGCAAGGTAGAATATGTCTGTTTTTTTTTTTTTTTAAGGCGCAAGGTAGAATATGTCAATAAGAATAACTTACGAGATTTGTATAGAATGCACAAGTATCATATATTATTCTTCCGATAGTCATAAAAAAAATATTTATACACAAAAGTATGTTCAGAAAACGATCCTTTCAACCTTCCCACATCACAAATCTAAACTCTTAAATTAACTCAAAAATTAAAGAACAAGAAGTAGAAGAAAGATCCAGATCAAAAGGCCGAATATTAATTAAAACAACCGTCAAAAAGGTTTACAAAATCAAAGAATATCACATATATATCGATCTTCATTCTTCAGATGAACAAAGAAAAACCCATATGAGAGAGCAAGTAAATCACTTTACGTGCGTCTTTAATTCACCCCATTTGAAAAGAAACACACACCTTTTCTTAGAGAAATCAAACTTTGGAAAAAAAATTTAACTAATTAAGCACTTTTAGTACATATGCAGTTATGTATGTACCATTAATTTTTTTCTTGATTTTAACTTTGGGTATTTGGAAATTTGCAATAGTTGATTCAAATTTTTGGACGAAAAAACTGGTTTAGCACATTGATATAAATATATATTTATTAATTTGAGTATTTGAGAAAATGATGAGAGTAAGAGACCTGCTACACTGCTGACAGAACCTCTGCTCCATCCCTAACACCACAACTCTGGGAGCCTTGGAATGCATCTCACACACCTTGTGCCTCCTGTGGTAGTCCTTCGCGTTCAAGAGCGCCACGTGGCACCCCTCCACCTGACACCTCGGCACCGTCGCCGCCGCCGCCGTGAACCCCACCGCCTTGGCGGCGGCGGCGCCAGCAGAGCACCCCTTCCCCCTCTTATCCCCCAACGCCAACCCAGGCGCCACGCCTCCGCTTCCGCCTCCGCTCGCGTTCGCGTCCTCAAAGTAATGCCTCTTCCCGAGCTTCAAGCACGTGAGGTGCGGGTCGGAGTGCACGTGCGAGTGCGAGTGCGAGTGCGAGTGAGAAGACCCCTCCCCTCCGTACGCATGCTGCCGCTGACGCAAAACGCCGCCGTTTTGCGGCAGGAACATGAGCGCGTTGGCCAGCCCCGCAGCGGATCCCTCCCCGTGGAAGGCGTTGAGAAGCCTCGAACCGTTGTTGTTGTTGTTGGTATTGTTGTTATTATCATTAGTGGTGGCTTCCCATGAGTCCCAAGCGAAGGCGTTACCGTTATTAAGGTCTCGGTTTCCGAGACAGAACATGTTCCCTGGGAAGTCCATGTAAGGAAAGTGGGAAGTGGAAGAAAGAAAGAAAGAAAGTAAGAGTGTGTGTTTAGGGAAGGTAGGGGGATAGGTGCAGCGTGGTGATGACGATGGGGTTGGAACAGAAGTGGAAGGGACGACGAAGGAGCATTTCTGAGTGAGATCCTTTCTTGTTGTGTGAAAGAGGGTGCAGGTTAAGACTCAAGAGTTAAGAGTTAAAAGTACCCGGCCTGAAGAGGAAAAGCTGCAGGGGCTAGTGAGTCCTAGAGAGAGAGTGAATGGGTGGAGTGCTCCTAAAACCACACGTAAGAGGAAAATGAAATGATAGTAAACGGATCCGAGTTAAAGCAAGAGAGAGAAAGGACTGATAAGACACAAGCGGATCAGAGACCCCTCTCCCCACAGATAATTATGTAACTCGGTTTCACGCCTGTCAACTAACAAAATCAATTCTTTTTCTTTCTTTTTCTTTCTTATCACTAAAATATACACCCAACACACGATTTATCACTATATATCCATCGTAATATCATGTCAAGGTTTTTGACTAAATACTATTGTTTATTTATTTAGTCTTCAATTTAAACTATAACTTTATAATGAAGTGTTAAACTGAAAATCAGTAGAAATTTACTAAAATAATTTTTTAAATAGTATCAAGAGATTTTTTTAATAGATATGTGTATTAAAGTAGAATTTAGATTATCGATTGAACAAAATAAAATATTAGATGCGTCTATCATGCAATATTAATATTAATATTAATTCATTAAAAAATTATTAATACTAATTTAATTATTTTGTTTATTTTTCTAGAGAGATGCGTAAATGAAGTTTGTTTATTAATACAAACTTGATTGCTCAACCCACAATATATAGCCCATTAAACACACATGGAGTTTTTTTATTAATCATGGTACGAACTATATATCACCACACATAAAATAGTAATTAATTGTCGTTGAAATGTATAGACAAATATAAGATAGATATACTTGAAAAGGAGAATGATTTTATTTAGAACATATCATATTAATAATATAATTTCTTTTATATTTAGAATCAGAATTTAATATTGATTAAAAAATATTATCTTTGTCATCTGTAATGATTATAATATTGGTAAATATGTATGGTGGTTAAAATAAAATATTAATTAAATGATATGAGAGCATAAAAGAATAATAAAAAATTATAATGAAATAATCTTCAAATAAAATTATTTAACTAAATCATATTATAAATTTTTTAATGACATTACACACACACACATATATATATATATATATATATATATATATATATATATATATATATTATTTTTTATAAAAATTGAGGTGTTACAACTATGATCTATATGATCATACTCAACATGGATAGTGAGTGTCATTCTAATAAAAACATGACATTTGTCACTTATATTATGACAAACATTAACCAACTATCATATATAAAGCACATTTTTATGTTAGGTGATGGTTTATTATAGAATGTGTATGATTTTATATTGTTGGGATGTATGACAAATTTAGGATTGACATAGAATGTCCAAAATACTTGACATAAAAAGTTCATTGTATAGTAATGCTAATTTTAATTATCAGCTGTTCTTACTGGAGATCGGTCGTAGGAACGATCTGCTAGACAAGATTGGTGAGCCTCCTTCACTGGGTACGATTGCTATTCCAAGGCGGGGGTGGTACCTGCAAAAGAGACTCCGATGCTAAAGATAGTGTTTGTGGATGTATGGGTCTCGTATAAGTAATGCACGTACCTTAGTGTGAATTAGGATTTTGCTGGGCCTTGGGCCCGAGGTCAGTTATGACCTGTTTGGATAGCGGTCCTTGTCTTGACCGACGTCGCCTAGCGCGTGTCCGAGGTTGATTTGCGCTGTGATGCCGAGCTAGAGCTCGGCATAGCGATGCGGATAGTACACTAGCCCCCCGAGCTCCGAAGGCCGCAGGTCAAGGAGTTAAAATCGAGCTCGACAAGGGGTCGTGACCCTTCACGTACGCCTACCTGTCATGATGCCATGTGTCATAACTGTTACTTCGTGTTCCGAAACGCGTGGGCAGCGTGTTAATGGGGATGACAGTTATGTAATGATGGTCGTGCTTCATCATGATGGGGCCTCATTAATGTGCTGTCAGTCTTGTCCCCTTGCTGACACGTGTCACTGCCGTTTTGAATTTTGGAGACCCCTTTTCTCTCTCTCGCGCCCTTTACCCTTTCACTTTACTCTTTTCCTTTGTCTTGCTTCCGACGCCTCTTCGTTTCTCTGCTCACTCTTCGTCTTCCATCTTCCTCATCTTTTTTCTCCTCCGTCGCCATTTCCGGCAACTGAGTTCTCATCCTTCATTTTTGTTCTTTCGTTTGTCAAAGGAGTACCAGGTACTTCGATATCTCAATCTTCTCCTTCTTCTCAAATCTTTTCATCGTCTTGATGGTTGGTAACAGTGATGCCGCTCCTTCCGCGCCGGCCAAGGGTAAAGGGAAGGCGCGCGGCAAGGCGATGGCCGCCAAGATGGCCGCCGCGGAAAAGAAAAAGGGGGGGAACCAGCCTAGGGAGCCCTTCCCCGTTATCTCTGGCTACGAATGGGTCAGGGGTGACGTCGGGGAATTCCAGAGCGTCTTCAAGTCGTTCTTGGAGATTAATGTGATGTGGAAATCGTATAGGATCTGTAACCCATCCATTTCTAAGCTTATCCAGCTTGAGCCTTGTCAGCCCGGTGAGCGTGTATACATGGGGGATACCTCCAATCCCCCCTTTTTCTATATGTACCAGTGCTTTTTTAGGGAATTAGGCGTGTGTCTTCCCTTTTCCCAATTTGAATGCGATTTTTTGAATTTCGTTAACTCGGCTCCTTGCCAGTTGCACCCTAATAGTTGGGGTTTTTTGAGGGATTTTCAGGTCCTGTGCTCGATCCTAGGGATAGGGTTGTCTCTCCCTGTTTTTCTTCATTTTTAAGAGGGCAACTTCTCCTTACACAGTCCAGATAATCGATTATTTATAGAATAATCAATTATTCCAGTGACTTCTCATATTCCAATTCCCAGATAATCGATTATTACCCAAGATAATCGATTATTATAGTGACTCTTGAGTTTCTTCTTACCAGATAATCGATTATTGCTCAAATAATTGATTATTTCAAAGACTCTTAGAATTCTTCATGTTCCAGATAATCGATTATTACCCAAATAATCGATTATTTCCATGGGATTACTTAAGATAATCGATTATATCTTAAGATAATCGATTATTCCAGAGAAGTTTTGCTTCTCAGAAATTTTAACTTCTCAGATTTTACCAAGTCTTATTTGTCACTTTTAAATACTCTCTTCCAACATATCTAACTTCCATTTTCAAAGCATAATCAATTCAAACTTGATTCATTGATTATTCCCAATTCATTTATTAATTGGTTGAATTTTTCCCTTGGTAGAGGTTTTGTAAAAATATCAGCCAGTTGTTTGCTAGTTTCTAAAAACTCTACAACACAATCATTCCTTTGCACATGATCTCTCAAAAAGTGGTGTCTTATCTCAATATGTTTTGTCCTTGAGTGCAAAATTGGATTCTTGGTCAGATTTATTGCACTAGTATTATCACACCTCAAAGGAATCTTGTTCAACTCAACTCCATAATCTCTCAATTGTTGTTTCATCCAAAGAATTTGAGCACAACAACTTCCAGCAGCTATATACTCAGCCTCAGCTGTACTCAAAGCAACACAAGCTTACTTCTTGCTATGCCATGAAACAAGTGCACTACCTAATAAGTGACAAGTTCCACTTGTGCTCTTTCTGTCTAGTCTACACCCAGCATAGTCTGAATCTGAGTAGCCTATCAGACTTAGTGAGACTCCCTTTGGATACCACAA